AAAAAAAAAAAAAAAAAAAGTTTAAAGGGTAAAAAGAAAAAATAATAATAGAAAGAAGCTTGTAGAATAAGGATATAAAGAAAATATTATATATACACAAAGCTGTACAATGTGTTTTGCATCTTAGCTGTGTTATAACACGTCAAAAAGTTTTAAAAAACTTAAAGTTTATAAAGTAAAAGTTACAGTAAACTGAAGTTTATTGTTGAAAACAAATAATGTTTTTATAAATTTAATATAGGTGAAGTGTACAGTATTCATAGTCTACAATAGTGTAAAGTAATACATTCACTCACCTCTTACTAACTCAGAGAAACGTTCAGTTCTGCAAATTCCATTCATGATAAGTGTCCTACAGGAGTATACCCTTTTTTTTTTCCTGTATACAGTATTTTCTTTTTTTCTTTTGAGACAGAGTCTCACTCTGTGGCCCAGGCTGGAGTGCAGTGGCGCGATCTCGGCTCACTGCAACCTCCACCTCCCAGGCTCAAGCCATTCTCCTGGCTCAACCTCTTGAGTAGCTGAGATTACAGGCACCCGCCACCATGCCCGGCTAATTTTTGTATGTTTAGTAGATACAGGGTTTCACCATGCTGGCCAGGCTGGTCTTAAACTTGTGACCTCAGGTGATCCACCCACCTCGGCCTCCCAAAGCATTGGGATTACAGGCGAAAGCCAACACACCCGGACAGGTATTTTCACTGTACCCTTTCTATATTTAAATACAAAAATACTTACCGTTGTGTTACAATTGCCTACAGTATTCAGTACAGTAACATGATGTACAGCTTTGTAGCCTAGGAGCAACAGGCTATATACCATTTAGCCTAGGTGTATAGGAAGCCATACCATCTAGGTCTCCGTAAGTACACCAAAGATGTTCGCACAATGACGAAATCGCCTAACAACTCATTTCTCAGAACATAACCCTGCTGTTAAGCCATGGATTACTCTGTTTCCCAAGGCTCAATCCTGACTTTCTCGGGAAGCCTTCTTGACTCCTACCATTAAGCCAAACACGCCTCTTATGCACTCTCCCACAACCATGAATCTTTTCTTCCCAAAATTTACCACTATTGCTTTTTTTTTTTTTTTTTTTTTTTTTTTGAGACAAGGTTTCAAACTGTCACCCAGCCTGGAGAGCAGCAGCATGATCACAGCTCACTGCAGTCTCGACCTCCCCAGGCTCAGGTGGTCCTCCCGCTTCAGCCTCCCAATTAGCTCGGACCACTACGCCCAGCTAATTTTTTTTTTCTGTATTTTTTTGTAGAGACTGGGCCTTGCTATACTGCCCAGGCTGGTCTTGAATTCCTCGACTCAAGCGATCCTCCTGCCTCGGCCTCCCGAGTCGCTGGGATTACAGGCGTGAGCCACTGCACCTGGCCCTATCACTATGGTAACTTCATATTTATCTGAATTCCCCCTTTTTTTTTTTTTTAGACTGAGTCTCGCTCTGTTACCCAGGCTGGAGTGCAGCGGTGCAATGTCGGCTCACTGTGCAACCTCAGCCTCTGGGTTCAAGCGATTCTCCTGCCTCAGCCTCCTGAGCAGCTGGGATTACAGGCACGCGCCACCACGCCTGGCTAATTTTTTGTGTGTATTAGAACAGACAGGGTTCACCACGTTGGCCAGGCTGGTCTCGAACTCCTGACCTCAAGTGATCCGGCCACCTCAGCCTCCCAAAGTGCTAGGATTACAGGCGTAAGCCACCGCGTCCGGCCATTATTTGTTTTGTTATTTTGTTTGTTTGGTTTGGTTTTTGTTTGTTTTGAGATGGAGTATCTTCTGTCGCCCAGGTTGGAGTGCAGTGGCGCGACCTCGGCTCACTACAACCTCCGCCTCCCGGGTTCAAGCGATTCTCCTGCCTCAGCCACCGCGTCCGGCCCATTATCTGGATTCTTTAGTGCCTGTCCCTCTAGACTATAGGCTTCGTTAAAGCAGAAACTCGATCTGTTGCAACACCTACCACAGCGTCCAGCACACCTGCAATTCTTCAATAAATACTTGCTGAATGAAGCCACCACCCGCGCCCCTCCTCCCCGCAAAAAGAAGTGCGCCAGGGAAGCGTCCCTATCTACTCTGTCCACCACTGCCCAGGGCCCATCAGTGGGCCCAATGGCTAAGAGTATTTGGTGACTAAATATATGGGGACAGGAGAAACGAAGGGGAAAGGATGTGTCAGAGGCCAAGACTGCCCCCTAAGATGGAGGAGGCCTAACTCTGGGAGGTTCCGCCTCTCCCAACGAGCGTCGCCAAGAAAAACCCCTTCAGAAGCGAAAAAAGCCAGGAAAAGAGGCCAGCCCCGGCCAGGAAAAGACATCACCTAAGCTCCCCAGTAGCCCCGTGTCTCTGCGCCTTTTCCTTCTCCCTTCCTGTCACGGGAAAGACTCCCGCCCGTGTCGACACCTACACACACGAAAGAGACAGAAAGAGAGAGGCTTCCATTCACGGTCACTCACAGGCGCAGCGGTTTCTGTGCCATCTGTCCAAATAGTATGAGTTGTGACCGCCACCTAAAATTGGGAATGGGAATCTGCGCTCCTCGGAAAAATGTGACCGCGCAACAATCAGACGTCAGCGCCCTGCAGCCAGTAACGGTTCACTTGCTTACGGAGACCGCCGAGGGACAGAAGCCTCTCTCAGGTGGTTGCGCCTCAAGAAAGAATCAGGAGGAAAGGGGAGGAGTGAAGAGAGAAAGAGGAAGTGACCAAAAGAATTCCAATTACAATTTTTAAATTACATTTCAGAGTACTTGAAGCGAGTGAATGGCTAAGAAGTACAGAGCAGAATGTCGGGTTCTAACCTAACCTAACCTAACCTAACCATATCGGTGTAGTGGGCAAGACAGACCCCCTCTATCCACGTTTTTTGTAAGTTTTTAACCTATCAAAAAGTTAAAAAGTTAAAAGTTAAAAGTCGGGGCGGCTAATGCCTATAATCCCAGCACTTTGGGAGGCTGGGGCGGGCGGATCACTTGAGGTCAGGCGTTCAAGACCAGCCTGGGCAACATGATGAAACTCCGTCTCTACTAAAAATACAAAAATTAGCCGGGCATGGTGGAGAATTGTCTGAACCTGGGAGGCGGAGGTTGCAGTGAGTCAAGATCGTGCCATTGCACTCCAGCCTGGACAAGAGCGAAACTCCGTCTCAAATTAAAAAAAAAAAAAAGTTAAAAGAATAATGGCTATTACCTTGATTCATAAGTCTCAGCATGTTGCCAAATTTGCTTGTGTTCCCTTTCTCTCAAAGTGCTCAAACCCTTCCATTCTCACTGGATCATTTGAAAGTAAAGTGCAGTCAGGGCGCGGTGGCTCACGCCTATAATCCCAGCGTTTTTGGGAGATTGAGACCATCCTGGCTAACACGGTGAAACCCCGTCTCTACTAAAAATACAAAAGATTAGCCAGGCGGGGTGGCACGTGCCTGTAGTCCCAGCTACTAGGGAGGCTGAGGCAGGAGAATCGCTTGAACCCAGGAGGCGGAAGTTGCAGTGAGCCGAGATCACGCCACTTCACTCCAGCCTGGGAGACAGAGAGAGACTCCGTCTCAAAAATAAAATAAAATAAAGTGCAGACAACAGGAATACATCTGCATGCATCTCCTAAGATTAGGACATCCTCCGACATAACCATCATACTATTAATACAGCTACGAAAATTAACATTAATTATTCAATATTATCTAATATACATCCATATTTAAAGTTCTCCATTTGTCCCCCCAAATTGATTTTATATTTGGGGCTTGTTTTGATTCGGATCCAATCAAGTTTCACACTTGCATTTGGTTCTGTCTCTAGTTTATTTTAATCTACAAAAGCCCTCCTACCTATTTGGTTTTAGTTTTTGTAATACTGACTTTTTTGAAGGGTTCAGGCCAAGTGGTAGGAAACAAGTGTGTAAGGAAATGGAAACAATAGAGAGATCCTGACGACTGAGGGGAAGGAAAGACTCATCAAGGACATCTAAATAATTCAAAATTAATTAAAACATAAGATTAAAGAAGAACTACAGGCCAGGCACAGTGGCTGATGCCTGTAATCCCAGCACTTTGGGAGGCTAAGGCGGGAAGTTCACTTGAGAACAGGAGTTCAAGGCCAACCTGGGCAACATAGCGAGACCTCATCTCTACTACAAATTTTGAAAGAGAAAAAAAAGTGCTTCTTCTCCGAGAAAACACCAAATGGTGGATGACGCCGGTGCAGCAGGGGGACCTGGAGGCCCTGGGATGGGGAAC